CGCATAAACTTCCGGTTGACGAAGTGGAGGTCAGGCCAGCAAAAGTTGCTGCTGATATGTGAAGAAAATGCGACTCTTCCGAGTATTTCTTTGCTTTTTTGGATATTTCATGACACTTGACACACAATTCTACAGGCAACTATGGAAGCCCATTTCCGCCATGTAAAAAAAAAAAAAAAAAAGCCTACAGAAAGTCAAAATTACGACTTTAAAACTAAAAATTTTGATTTTAAAAGTCAAAATTTCGACTTTAAAAGTCAAAATTACGAGTTTTCAACTGCGCATGTGCAGTTGAAAACTCGTATGTGTTGTTGTCTGGAACGGTCTCTGGTCATCCCTGTTATAGATCCATGACCATGGGTCATCCTCTACCTGCAGATTGTGAAGATTTTGCCTACAGACAGTGACCACATCCATGAAGTAGCCAGCAATAATGTTGTGATAGTAATCGCGTTAAAATGCAAACGGTCTCGCTCCGTGTGGACCCCTCTCAGCGTCATCGTCTGGTCAGAGTGGTCTATAACAGATTGGATTGGAATGTCTCGATGGCTCATTTTCCTTTGATTTATTATAAAAACATATTGCTCACATTATTTGTTACTATGTCGAAATAAGAAGTCGTTTGATTTAAACGTTGTATATATGTAAATTGAATTTAACATAAATAAATAAAAAGAAAGCTCCCCCTGCGTCCTACGACCGCGGTCTGGGGCTTAAACAGGAAAGTTTTACAGAATCAATCAAACAACATTATTTCTGGCTACTTCATGGATGCAGTGGTCACTGTAGGCAATATCTTCACATAATCTGCAGGTGAAGGACGTCCAGAGACCGTTTCAGACAACAACACATACGAGTTTTCAACTGCACATGCGCAGTTGTAAACTCGTAATTTTGACTTTTAAAGTCGAAATGTTGACTTTCTGTATGCTTTTTTTTTTTTTTTACATGGCGGAAATGGGCTTCCCATGGCGGAAACGGACACCCCATAATGACAACTTATTTTGTTTTGGGATTCTTACACATTTATTTAAAAAAAAAACACGAAGAAATCACATGTACATAAGTGTTCACAGCCTTTGCCGTTGAGGTTCAAAATTGAGCTCAGGTGCATCCTGTTTCCACGGATCATCCTTGAGATGCTTCTACTGCTTAATTGGAGTCTACCTGTGGTAAATTCAGTTGATTTGAAAAGGCACAAACCTGTGTATATATAAGGTCCCACAGTTGACAGTGCATTTCAGAGCACAAACCAAGCATGAAGTCAAAGGAATTGTCTCTAGACCTCCGAAACACGATAGTCTCGAGGCACAAGTCTGAGGAAGGGTACAGAAACATTTCTGCTGCTTTGAAGTCCCAATGAGCACAGTGGCCTCAATCATCCGTAAATGGAAGAAGTTTGGGACCACCAGGACTCTTCCTAGAGCTGGCCAGCCATCTAAACTGAGCGATCGGGGGGGAAGGGCCTTAGTCAGTGAGGTGACTAAGAACCCGATGGTCACTTTGTCAGAGCTCCAGCGTTCCTCTGTGGAGAGAGGAGAACCTTCTAGAAGGACAATCATCTTGGCAGCAATCTACAAATCAGGCCTGTATGGTAGAGTGGCCAGACGGAAGCCGCTCCTTAGTTTGGAGTTTGCCAAAAGGCACCTGAAGGACTCTCAGACCATGGGTAAAAAAATTCTCTGGTCTGATGAGACAAAAATTGAACTCTTTGGCGTGAATTCCAGGCGTCATGTTTGGAGGAAACCAGGCACTGCTCATCACCAAGCAAATACCATCCCTACAGTGAAGCATGGTGGTGGTAGCATCATGCTGTGGGGATGTTTTTCAGCGGCAGGAACTGGGAGACTGATCAAGATAGAGGGAAAGATGAATGCAGCAATGTGCAGAGACATCCTGGATGAATACCTGCTCCAGAGCGCTCTTGACCTCAGACTGGGGCGACGGTTCATCTTTCAGCAGGACAACAACCCTAAGCACACAGCCAAGATAACAAAGAAGTGGCTTCAGGACAACTCTGTGAATGTCCTTGAGTGGCCCAAACAGAGCCCAGACTTGAATCCAATTGAACATCTCTGGAGAGATCTGAAAATGGCTGTGTACCGACACTCCCCATCCAACTTGATGGAGTTTGAAAGGTGCTGCAAAGAGGAATGGGCAAAACTGCCCAAAGACAGGTGTGCCAAGCTTGTGGCATCATATTCAAAAAGACTTGAGGCTGTAATTGCTGCCAAAGGTGCATCAACAAAGTATTTAGCAAAGGCTGTGAATACTTATGTACATGTGGTTTTTTATTTTTATAAATTTGCAAGAATGTCAAAAAAAAAGTGAATTGAATCAATTTTGGAATAAGACTAACATAAAAAAAATGTGAAAAATTTGTGAATACTTTCCCGATGCACTGTATAACCTATGGGGTAAGGTTACTGTCAATAAAGACATGCATGTCTAAAAAAATGCGTGCATATTTATCGGTATTTGTGCATAAAAATATTTTATTAATTCATGATTAAGATAATACAAACTCAAAATACATGGAATTTTGTAATTAATAATAAAAACTATAAAACCGCGATTTTGTACTTCTGAATACGTTGGTTTGTTTGTTTTTTTTATGTGCTTGCATTATCTTCTTTGAGAATACAAATTTCAGCAGTCAGCAAACAATATTATGTCACTGCTCACAGACATTGACAATCGAGCCTGCGCAGAGTTGAATAAACTTCATTGCCACAAAACTAAACATGGCAGAGGGCAACAACATTAACAACGTGGCTTAAAATCAGGTATATACAGTGCCTTGCGAAAGTATTCGGCACCCTTGAACCTTTCAACATTTCGCCACATTTCAGGCTTCAAACATAAAGATATAAAATTTTAATTTTTTGTCATGAATCAACAACAAGTGGGACACAATCGTGAAGTGGAACGAAATTTATTAGATAATTTAAACTTTAAAAAAAAATAAAAAACTGAAAAGTGGGGCGTGCAATATTATTCGGCCCCTTTACTTTCAGTGCAGCAAACTCACTCCAGAAGTTCAGTGAGGATCTTTGAATGATCCAATGTTGTCCTAAATGACTGATGATGATAAATAGAATGCACCTGTGTGTAATCAAGTCTCCGTATAAATGCACCTGCTCTTTGATAGTCTCAGGGTTCTGTTTAAAGCGCAGAGAGAACCATGAAGACAAAGGAACACACCAGGCAGGTCCGAGATACTGTGGTGGAGAAGTTTAAAGCCGGATTTGGATACAAAAAGATTTCCCAAGCTTTAAACATCTCAAGGAGCACTGTGCAAGCAATTATATTGAAATGGAAGGAGTATCAGACCACTGCAAATCTACCAAGACCCGGCCGTCCCTCCACACTTTCATCTCAAACAAGGAGAAGACTGGTCAGAGATGCAGCCAATTGGAGGCCCATGATCACTCTGGATGAACTGCAGCTGAGGTGGGAGAGTCTGTCCATAGGACAACAATCAGTCGTGCACTGCACAAATCTGGCCTTTATGGAAGAGTGGCAAGAAGAAAGTAATTTCTCAAAGATATCCAATAAAAGTCTCTTAAAGTTTGCCACAAGCCACCTGGGAGACACACCAAACATGTGGAAGAAGGTGCTCTGGTCAGATGAAACCAAAATCTAACTTTTTGGCCACAATGCAAAACGATATGTTTGGCGTAAAAGCAATACAGCTCATCACCCTGAACACACCATCCCCACCTCAGCTGTAGCTATCTGCAGTTCATCCAGAGTGATCATGAGCCTCTTGGCTGCATCTCTGATCAAAAAATAAAACTAGCATTGGAGCTAACCACACTGCCAAAAAAAACGTTTCTAGTGAGTGACAAGAAGAAACATATTCTTATGAACACATTTTATGGAATTAATATTTCTTGCACATTCATATGCGACCAAAATGATAAAATATAATTATATACCTGATTTTGTGCCACGTTGTTAATGTTGTTGCCCTCTGTCATGTGTTTGTTTTGTGACAATGAAGTTGATCAACTCTGCGCAGGCTCGATTGTTAATGTCTGTGAGCAGTGACGTAATATCGACAGTTTGCTGACTGCTGAAATTCCTAATCTCAAAGAAGAAAATGCACATAAAAAAAGTACAAAATCACACATATAGTTTTATAGTTTCTATTCTTAATTACAAAATTCCATGTCTTTTGAGTTTGTATTATCTTAATCATGAATTAATAAAATATTTGTATGCACAAATACCGATAAATATGCACGCAACATGCACGTCTTTATTGACAGTAACCTTACCCCATAATAACCCCTCACTGCCTGCGTTTCACAAGTTTCCTGGATTCTCTTCCTCGCCATGAAATAAGGTACGAATGTGTAAGGTAATAAAATGCACTGCCCCCGCGATGACCCAGGCAAGCCGGCCAAGCTGCGGGGTTGTGTGTGAGATAACAAAAACACACGGCTCGGAACATTTAAGGCGATGGAGGTCGGATAGAGCACCACAATGGCTCACATTGATACAGCAGTCATCTCAAAGACAGTGATCGTCCCCAGAGCACACCTCTGGCCCCCACCCCCGGCGAGTTCAAAGGGGGCCAGTGGGTCTGCATCGCCTCAAACAAAGCCATAGACATCACCCATGGGCCGGCGATCCGGCAACGGCGTTCCACCACCCCCCCCAGTGGACACGGGACGCCAATACACCTGAGACGGACAACTGAAACCACGGATGAATATGTTGTTTTGCTAACATCTTAAATCAGAAAACGTGTGTACCATTGTCTGTGAACAAGGTGTGTTGTGTGTCTATGTCTAAGTAACGTGTATGTGGTTAAAACTATGATTTCATGAAAGGAGTTCTGGAGGCGCGGAAAGTTGACGTCATAAGACACGCCCCCAGAGCCGGAACAAAAACAGAGACACAGCAACTTTTCTTGTGTTAACTTTTGCTTGTGAACCTTTTGGGAGCTCTCTTTGAAACTTTCTCTGGGCCAGTGGGCCGCGTCTTGAAGCATGGCCCACTCCCCTGCGCGATCCAGGGGCCCACAACTTCAACCCAGGCGCAGGTTGGAGCTCGCTGCCCGGACAGCTGCCCGATCCTTTTCCCATCGAGCTGAACTCGACTTGCCTGTCCCGCAGCGGCGAAACTGCTCTCCAACTCCCACCAAAAAAGAGCACCGTGGACCATCACGCCTCAAGCCACCTCCGGGCTTCCCGGGACCGATCCCCGCTCCCTGCTCCCGTGTGTGGGAAAGACTGGAGTGTGTGTGCGCCCGCTCTCCGTGCGTGAGGAAGACTGAAGTGTTTGACCGCCTGACCCAAACGGGTAGAAAGCATCTTCACCTCTGGGACTTGGCAGTAACAGTAAGACTTGCTGGAGTTGTATTGTGTGTGATGATGATGTGTTTCTGACATTCCTGTTCATGTGACTTATCATACTTGTGTGATCCCTCCCGGTTACCGTTCCCGTTTCTATATGTAGTTAATAAACCCACGCTAACTTTTAAGAGTCGTCAGCGTTCTTTGTATAATTCATGATATCCCTGGCCGATATAGAACTCAAGACCTATCAGATTATGAGACTGATCGAGGCAGAATGGACTAGTTCAATTGCAACTTCTTGCTGGTGCCCCTCTTACTTAAAATTTAGATCCATTCAACCCGGAGTAGGCGAGGCTTAGGACTACGTTTGCGACGTTTAATACCGACACAAACTGATACAAAGCCTCCCCTCTCCACATTCACTTTCTTACCCTACAAATGTGAAGCTAATAAATGTGTTGAACTGTACGTGTGTGGAGCTCTTCCTGGTCATTCTAAAATCTGGTGACAGTGCAGAAATGTTTGAAGCTTACACGCTCTATGTTGAATGCATCAGATTTTTTATATAGCGCTTTTCTGGACACTCAAAGACGCTTTTCATGTCATTATTCTTTCACTCCATACACGGTGGTGATAAACTACTACTGTAGCCACAGCTGCCCTGGGGCACACTGACAGAAGCGAGGCAACCAGTCTGTGCCATCGGCCCCTCCGACCACCACCAATCATTCACACACACACCAGACTCATTCTATGAAGTGTCTTGCCTAAGGACACAACGGCAGTTTGGCACTTTACAGCCGCAGCCGCCCAACTGTGGCTGGTGTTCCCAGAGGTTAAGTGTCTTGCCAAGGACACAACGACAGCAGACAGTGGGAGTCGATGGTGAAGGTCGGGCTAGAACCCACAACCCTCTGGCTCAAAGGCCAATGCTCTACCAACTGAGCTACTGTCGCCCCTGATAGTGAGAATGAGACTCTATATTCTGGGCATCATACATTGATATAGCTCAACTGATTCTCATGTTTATACGAGCTACTCGTGATTCCAATTGGAAATTGGACCTTCCACGGACTTTATATAACAGTAGTATGTGTTCATGGAGGTGCGCAATAAGTTTATTTTATTATTAAACGGTACTTCTGCATCAGCGAACACACTTGAAGCAGTTGCATAAAGTCACGGGAGCATGACAACGCGTATCTTCACAAGCACTATATCCACCATTGTCAACCCTGGTTTTAAGTCGTGGTGTAGCTCCTGTTTTGGCTGTTTACAGTATGTTCAGTCTGCTCGCTCAGACCACTAATGTCCTCGTGACCACTTTGCGGCTCTCTGATTGGTCGCTGCACAAACGTCCTCCCGGTTCTGCGCAGTGGACGAGCTCTCATGATGCGTTGCGCCAAATACGCGTGTGTGGCTCTCATGCAGAGCCAGAAGGGAAACAGCAGAGTTTGTGGCAGTAAACTAAAGGATTTAAGAAGAAAAAAAGTTCAGGATGACAAGGGACACTAAAATCCCTTTATGAAAGCTGTAGGTTTTCTGTAAGCTGAGGTCAAGCTGTTATAGTTTACATTGAGTTTTATAGCACCTTTTTCTGGGTAGTCCACATGAATTTAGTCTGCAGGACCACGTGCGCCCCCTGTACCCATAGGCGGGACAGCTACAAGCTAGTAATACCCAGTGATGGGAATAACAGCATTGAAATAAACTGCGTTACTAACGCCTTACTTACTTTTTCAGTAACTAGCAATCTTAACTATTTACTTTGACTTCGTTGCCGACACCACGTTACTGCACGTTACTCAAGTCGCACAATTAATTTTTTTTACCTTCATGATAGGAGGCGTGTTGTCATGAGAGAAGAGAGAATGAGATAACCTCTCATCAGTGATTGGCTGTTGTATAGTGAGATTACGTCTTCAGCCAATCAGAGAAATTGGTTAAGTGGGTGTTTCCGCATTCACAGTGGCGGGTGTTTACTTTAGTGCTTACAGCACACAGACAGAGATGGAGACAGCAGCAAAACAGACTTTTCAAGCTCACTGAGGTTAAAGGTAAAAATGTTCCAGGTTGTTGGGGGGCTAGTGTTTTTCCTTGTCGATGCAGGAGGGTCTTGTTGGACAGTTAGTGTCCGACAGAAAGGATTGGTGATGATCAGGACACTTTAGCATTCTACAATATGTATGGACATTTTTTTCTGTGTGTGCTTTATATTCTTCATGTGTTTTAACTGTTGATTCTCTGATCTGTGTTGGTGATTTCAATGGTTTTGTTAAGTCCTCTGAGATGACTTCTGTTGTGACTTAAGGCTATACAAGAATAAATTGTATTGTATTGTATTGTAGAGTTGACAAGGATCCGCTAACAAGAAAGGACCCTCCCCATGCAAGCAACAAAAACCTGTCTTTAGTGCCTCTGCTCCCCAGAAACTATCTCAGTTAGAGCTCTATGGCTTGATAGGGAGGTGTGTTGTGGAAAGCATGCTTCCAATATCAACAGTGGAGTCAGACTTCTTCAGGGCGTTGATAAGCAAAATCCCAAGAAAAGGAGGCGTCAGCCCGCCTTGTAGAAAGACGTTTTTGAATTACCGATTCCGAATATGCCAACATGAATGCTGAGCTAAAAAAAAAGAATTAGAGCAACTGGAATACTTGGCTACAACTGCAGTTATATGGACAGCACATAACAAAAGCTACCTCGGCGTAACTGCACACTGGATGCATCCATTAAACATGCAATGAAAAAAAGCTGCCCTGACATTCTGACGGTGCAAGGGCCGTCATACCCACAAGAGCATCGCCACAAACATTGACAACATCCACTCGTCTTATGGCATTTTTGCATAAAGTAACGGCAACTGTCACTAACAATGACTCGAATTTTGTTAAGGCATTTAAGAAATATCAGTCAGTTGAGGAGGATGAGTCTGTGGATGAGGAAGAGGACGAGGTTACTTTTGTTGACATAAATGATGTCTTGCAAGCTTGTGTTGATGAGGATGATGTGATTAATTTACCACCACACTACAGGTGTGCATCACAAGCTCAACCTTGTGTCAAGTTCTGACATTGAAAAATGGATTCTCTCCAGACCAGAGAAGGCACTTAACAGAAGTGCAACAACAAAATGCACAGCCTTGTGGAAGAAGGCCAGCCGTTCCACAGTGGCCGCAGAGACATTAGAGGATGTGGTTGCAAAGAAGCTGATAGTGCCTTGCAGTACCAGATTCAGAATTCTTTCTATGAGGCTCTAGCTAGAATTTGTGAGATTCCCATAGTGGACCTCATTACCATCTCATCCAAGTTTTGCTCGAAAGCAATCACAGAAAAAGATCATCAGCTTCTGAAGGAATATTGTATTGCAATGAAGCCACTGACAGTCGCCCTAGAACTGCTACCTCGGCACACTGCTGAGAAAAAGTCGGAAAAACGTCTATTAAATCACCTAACAGACCCGTAATATGACAATAGAGGATTACAATTAGATTACAATTAACTTTTTTATGTCCTAAATAAAACTTTTATTCAACTTTTACCTCATCATGGCCGCTCCTCTCTCCGCAGTGATTCATGCTACTCAGGGACGTGCACGTATGATGGCTGTGCTAGTGGTGTAGTTTCATCCTCCACCTGCAGGAGCGCTACGCTGCATTCTGTGCCTTTGTTTACCCTTAATTGGTTAAGAGTTAGAAAGCAGTACATTTTGAGAAAAGACACAGTGAGAAAGTTGTTCAATGTTATCTTCATCCATCCTTCGTTGTTCTTTTACAGAAAGCATTGCTTGTGAGTTTTTAAGTTAAGTCTTTATGGCTATATTTGTAGTTATTTGATTAGAGGCTACTCCACCTCTGCTGCTGCGACGTGAAGGGCTGCTGCTACTGTTGTTAGCTTTTTAGAATGATCAATTGTATTTTTTTATTTTTGCTGCTACTGGACATCTGAAATTCTCTCACGGGGATCAATAAACTATCTATTTATAGTAAAAAGGATACTTTGTTGGATTAAGTATTTGCCCGTGTAAACTAGTTTAGGTTTAGTTTAGTTTATCTCATGTGTAGCATTACATCTGTATACAGTCTAAATGTGTTTATTTCTTTCCGTTTGTAGTTTCACTCTGTCGGTAACTGAAGGCTTCGTCATTAAAGAAGACATTTCACCTGTCAATTGTCGTGGAGTTAATCTATCTGCATAGCTGCATCCCATACAACAGTGAGGCAGGGCTGGACTGGCCATCGGGCATACCGGGCAATGCCCGAAGGGCCGATGCCCATATTTGGGCCGGTCTGTCTGCTTCATACAAAAAACATGTTTGTGAAAAATGTTTGAGGGGGGGCGCGCATGTCCGCGGCCAACTGCTGTATGTACTCGAACGGGATTCCGCCACCTCAGCGGCCGCAGTGTTCCGAGACAGCTGCGGCCGCTTTGTAATGAGCGGTTCAAGCATCCAGCGGCTCTGAGCTGGACGCGGGAACCACGAGATCCGCTCACAACACAACACGGTGAGCGCGTAGCCTCAACGTGACCATGTACCCAAGACCATAAACGCGCACAGGACCATGCATTTCTTTGTGTAATCTGTGCACCCAATAAATACACCGCTGCAGGAAACAGTCCGCGTCTCCCCTCTCCTCTCGAAGAGCGACTAAATTAAAGCTCAGGTACCTAAATTTTCCATTGCATTAAAAGTTAATATTTGAGCCCATGTAGTAAAATGTTGTGAACAAATCAAACAGATTTAGTGACAGACAATGGCTGGCATTATGCATTTCAGACTTTTTTGACCAATTCTTATCCCTGTAACAAACAATAGTGTTGTCTGTGTCCACCTCCTTCACTCTGAGACATGTTTATTACTCTTGTAATGTAGACTATTGCACTGTATTTCAATTGTTGAAACTGCACATATCCTGATCCTCTAGTATTTTCTTCCATGCTGTATAAACCAGGGGTCGGCAACCTGCGGCTGGAGTCTTTTAAAAAATGCCTGAAATGGAGTGGGAGGGCTATATTTTATTTCTAGTTTGAATGTGGTTTCTGTAGGATGAAAAACATTCTTAACGTTTTTAAATGCTGCAAAAATGTGCGTAA